GCTTTTAGCAACCCACTCTTCAAAATCTCTTTTTGCATGCCTAATTATTTACTTACATTTCTTTTGCTGGAGCCTGTGGTCCTTCCTGTTCAATTCATTGAGGCAGATCTTCCACTTTTTAAAACAAGCCTCTTTACTTTCTATAGCTTCTTTGACTTGTATTGTTAACCACACAGGCCTTCTAACCTGTGGAATGCATTCTATCTGGGCTTCAATTAGTGTGGTTTTAAGTAGCTTCCAAGCATCCTCTAGGGATTTGACTCTCATGTCTTTTCCCTTTCAGCTTCCATTTAACTATTCCTCTCATTTTTTAAAAAAAGTTCTTTCTTTTTAAACCAAGTCCATGACTCTAAGCACAACACCATCCTGGCATTCTTATGTGCATTTGAACGTGCATCCAGTTTTGGCCCACAGTTCCTGATTTAGTAGGTCTTGCATGCCTGGACACCTACTTATGTGTGTATCTCAGCTGGACCATGGTGAGCATTCAGGCTGTACAAGGCAAGCAGATCCATGGCAAGGAAGAGGAAATTGAGCGCTCACTAGCCCTCCAAAATAAATTTCCATGATGATACATCAGAGACTAATCAGAACTATTTATGGCTGTATCAACATTTGGCATGTTTGGATTTTTTAAAAATGAAACCGTGGAACTGAGAGCCAGCCTGTACATGATGTCGAGGACTTGTGATTGGAATCCCCCAAGTGTAATTTAGCCACAGAAAGCAATTGTAGGAGCAGGGTATACGAATCAAGGCTGTAGTGTTGAGGCTGGGTAGGTGGACAACTCTTCTTTCTGCAAAAGTGTCATTTCCCAGGTAACTCTGGTTTTCAACTGGAAAACTGGTGTAGAGAGGAAGAGTTAAATGCCCCATTCCTTAGCTTCCTGGTCCCTCCTGACTAATATCTCTGCCCTCCCCTGACAGGTACCAGTTTGGTGTAGTGGTTAAGAGTGGTGGACTCTAATCTGGAGAACTGGGTTTGATTCCACACTCCTCCACATGCAGCGAGCTGGGTGACCCTGGGTGAGCCACAGTTCTCTCACAGTTGTTCTTTCAAGAGCAGTTATCTCAGAGCTCTCTCAGCCCCACCTACCATGCAGGGTGTCTGTTTTGGGGAGAGGAAAGGAAGGAGATTGTAAGCCACTCTGAGGCTCCGAGTGAAGGGCAGGGTATAAATCCAACTCTTCTTTTTTGCAGCTAAATTGTGTGTCAAGGATCTGGTTGATGATTGCCAACTCCAGGTTAAGCAATCTGAAGAATTGGGGGAGGAGCATGGGGAGGGAAGGGTTTAGGGAGGGGAGGGACTTCAATGGGGTATAATACCATAGAACCCACCCCCCCCACTTGGCAGCCCTATTTATAATAATCATATTCTGTGATAAAATCTCAATTATTATAATTTATTAGGTTTCTGAATCACAGGGCTCTGGGTGATTTACGACAGGTTAAAAACATACAAAATATAAATTAAAATCGACAATCAGTTAACAATCAGTTAATCTCAACTACTTAATAAAGGTATGCAGGCAGGATTCTACCCAGCTGTTCAAATAAACCTTTTCCTGTGTTCTGGCCAATGAATGACAAGATTCTGAGATGATTAAAAGCATTTGACACTTATTTTATGTGTGTTTATGGTTGCAATCCTAAGAATGCTTGCTTGGGAGAAAGCCCCTTTGAAAAAAATTGGACTTACTAGCACTGCATCCTTTGCATATCATTTTTGAAATTAGAATAAAACTTCATTTTACTTGTATTATTTTGCTAAATAACAGATTAAAAATGTTTACATTTTTACTATTTTGCATGGATTTTTAAGGACCCTCCCTCCACAAAAATTTTGGCTATCAACTTGTGCAGTGTGCCTCATTATAATTAACGTCTGCAAACGCAGAGACTCTGGCAATCTAGATGGAAATTATTTTTCAGTTCTGCTGATTGTTTAAAGCCATCCTTTTTAAAAATGAGAGTTGATTTACAAACAGTGGTTTCTCCCACTTTCTAACATTGTTTAAACTGAGGAGGACAAAAGCAGAGATGTCTTATTTTGGGGGGTAAAAAGCAAGTCTGGCTGAAAAGGTCACTGGCATCTCCCCAGTATGTGATGTGGCTGTCAGTGTTTGGACTGATTCTGTGAAGCTGCGGCAAGGGTATTTTTAGCTTTTTGCCAAAGCAGGCAGCTGGATTAGGTTGCCCCAGCAACTGCAGCATCGCCTTGAACTCCCTCAAATGCTGCAGGAAACTTCTTGAGCCTTATTTTCCGAGAAGCTTGCAAGAAACTGTTGAAAAACACCAAGGCGATTGGGAGGTGGAAACTCCATTAACAAGGAATGTGTATATATTGTGCACTTTTTACATTGGGGGGGGGGATTCCCCAGGGTGAGTGTCTGAAACAAGCCTGTTAAAATAGTTGGTTTGGAAGGTATCTGAAGATCTCACAAAGCATGTGGTTCCCAACCTTTTTGGTATGGCTACCCAAAACTCCAAATTTACTTGGCATAGTGAAACACTTAAAAGAAAACAGACCATGCACAAATTAATAAAATTTCAAAAGTCTGGGACCCACTCCCAAAGGATTCATGACCCACTTTTTGGGTCAAGACCTACAGCTTAGGAAATGTTGGTATAGCACATTGGTCAACAGCTTGTTTTCCTGTAGGTGAGTTTGAGGAGAAAATGAGAGGTCATGGCCTAACTTTCCATCCTCCCTCTGTCTCCTAATTTCGCCTGCCGGTGCAGGCTATTGTTACCTCTCCACGTCTCCATGCTTCTTGTACCTTTGGTGTGGTTCTTAAGGGGCCAGGTGGCTCCATTCATGGGCCTATTGACTTCTAGTTGCTAACTCCTAATGTAGGCCAGTCCTATGGTAGGCAGCATCCTTGATATATTAACCCAAATCTCCAGATGCTTCTCATACTAACCCACAACCACAGACTAACCCACTCATCTGAGATTAAGCCACAGACTGTGGAATATAATTTTTCAAGAAGAAAAGAGGAGAGCGTGCAGTGCCCCAGGGTTAGAAGTTCTTACATAATCCAATTATAACTGCAACTAGAAGCTTTGGTTACTTGTACTAAATTGATATGTGAAGCAGAGTACCCTACCTCTCTGAATTTATTACTACCATCAACTCTGTGGTTGCCAGGAAAATGGCACTGTGTGTGTGTGGGGGGGAAGCATTAATCCCCCACCCCCTCTGATCCAAATGAGGGCCCCTCTCTTCTGTAATTTACTAATCAAAAATTCTCCAGTGATCCATTCCCAGCATCTTGATTAATATAGCCCTAAGGCTACTTCTCACTGCAGTAGTAAACCTGTGTAGTTCTTCAAATTGCTTACCAGCCCACATAAGAGTCACTGCATGTAGAAAACCAGCGAGCCTGAAAGCAAAATTCTAGCTTAACTTACTTTCTGGCAATTTTCAGTATGTTTATCAAGTGAGCCTCTACCTGTGGTCTGAATGGGGTAGAAACCAGACAGTTCCATGGGAACTTGGCCTAAGAACACATTTAAATGCAGTGTTTGCTGTGTGGAGGCTCTTTCTTAAGTGCTCTGTGTGGTTTGTGTGAAGTTAAACAGATATTGGCCCAAATATGTGTAGTATTCCATGCCGTTAGCTTGTGTTGGGATATCTTTTGTGTGAGGCATGTCCTGCACCTGGTCCAGCCTCCTGCCCTCTGCCGTAATGTCAGCTGTCTCTGGGCCTCTTCCCCAGCCTCAGAATGGGTTCTGGAGCCAAAAGGAATGACTCCTTCCCCCTGGCTGGCTGGTTCCTGTGTTGGTGAACCCTCCAGCTGCCTTCCTCCCCAGTCATGTGGGAAGTTCCCTCTTTAAAATGTGGTTGCTCTCCTCTCTTTCCCCATGCCCTCCAATGGGCTCACTCTCTCCATTTCCCCTGTTTCCCCACTGCTGCTGCTCCTCTCCTTCCAGCTTGTTGAAACCTGTCCACAGTCCTTGTCTCTCCCCCTCCCATGCTCATCCCTTCACCATTCTGCCTGATCCAGGCTGCTCCCACTGGCCATGCCCAAGAGCATTGGGGAACTTGGCTCCATCCCATCCCCTTCTCTTTCTGCTCTCTCAATCAGTGCTGACTTGCTAAGGCTCAAGCTGGCAGGTGTAGCAGTGATGGTTGGGGCTGGCCCTTGCCAGCATTCTCGCTACGCCACTTCTTCCACCAAATTGTGTTTGCTCAGGCCCCCTTTCAGCCTGAGCCTGTCTGAGCTCAGCCTTCCCTCGGGCACACTGAGAGCTTCCTGCTGCTCCCTCCCCAGCTCCTTGTCTCCAGACCCCCATAAGGAGGAGAATGAACTCACCAGGAGGTCCAGGGTGCCAAGTGACTCCAGATAGTAAGACTATTTTGGCTTCTCTGTCATTGCAACCTGCTCGCAAATGTTGAGTCTGATCCCCATGTTAGGTTAGGGTATCTCTTTGGCTGTTTTAAGAATACAACCCTGGACCCCAATCCAGATAATTGAAATCCCATTGAAATAATTGAAACTACTTAGTTGCTGCATGACTTAAATTCTATTGAATTCTGTGGGACTCCGTTTTCTAGACTGAAGCTGTTTGACTTCCTAGGGTGAAACCCTTAACTTATCATTATCCCATTAAGACTTAGAACATTTTGGGACCTTATGTATGGAGACAGTTCACTGGAGGGCCTGTTGCTCCGCATGCTTTGCTCAGGTTTGATACACTATATCTCCAGATAAAAAACCCTTAGGAAATAAGACTGGGAAAGACCTTTGAATAAAGCTTTGATAAACCAGTTTAGACTGTTCTCAGCAAGATGGTCTAATGGTCTGAATCAGTACAAAGCAGCTTCATATGTTTCTTGAGACGAAAGCAATATATGGGCACAAGATGCAGGAATGATATATTCAGAATGGAACTGAAACTGAAGTAGAGTAGGAAGATGCTGATCATGGGGAATTGTTCTGCTTGATTAGAATGGCACTCATTCCATTATTAAATAGTTTTTGATTTTCTACTAAGGGTCCCATTAGGATGCCATCAGGGGCAGATGGGAATTTCTGCTCTCCAAGGCCTCCAGCTAGCTTCAGTGACCAGGCCTCCTCACCTTCTCAGCAGCCTGAAGCGGTGGTTAATGCCCTCAAGGTAACATGCCTTGCTGTGTGGCCATGTATGTGCCAGATCTCCCATTTGTGTTCTGTGACCATCCGTAATCCATTGCACCTGAACATCAACATATTTCAGAGGGAAAGCAAAAGAGACCCACTACCAATGCTATTGTCATCTTACACATGTTTCTCCATGTGTGTCAGCGATCATACGTCACCCATGTTGACTTTCCCATAGGTGCAGTGTGCCTATGCTGGGAATGAAAAGCTGCACTTGCATAAATTCCCTCTTCTACACAACTCTGAGAAGCAGAAGAGCCTTGTCTCCCTCTATATCTAGCCACTGTGTAGCCGGCTTCTTCATTCACACAACTATGTTTAGATTGATGGCACATGAGAGAGTCTGGTCACACTAGAAAAGAACAACAGGAAGTTGACCTGCCATTTGGTCTGGCATTCATATCCGTTTTTGGCATTAACAGTGGCCAGCCAAATGCCTCCAGGAAGTTCACAACCAGGGCATAAAAACTTTCATTGTGATTCGTCCCCAGTATCTGGTGTCCAGAGCTATATTGCTTTGGAATATGGAGTTTCCATGTAGCTAGTCATAGACCTATCTGCTATGAAATGTACTAATCCATTTTAAAAAAACATCAGTGTTACACGATCATGCCTTGTGACGGTTAACTAACTCCATAAGCTTAAACTGTATAAAGAAGCACTTCCTTTTGTCTGCCCTGAAATTGCTGCTAATCGGCTTCATTCAGTGTCCACCTAATCCTACTAGAAATCGTATTGCATTTTTATCCCACCCTCTCCTTCAAGGAGCTCAGGATAGTGTACATGATTCTCCCTTCCCCAGTTCATCCTCCCAAGAAACTTGTGAGCTAGATCAGGCAGAGAGAGAGAGAGAGAGAGACTGGCCCAAGGTCACCCAGGAGGAGTAATTGGAGAGTAGGCCCCAGCCCAGGTCCGACTTTCTAACCACTGTACCACATTGGTTATCACAGAATGACAGAGGAGAATGAAATTTTCACTTGGCTACACTGTTCATAATTTTCTAAATCACTGCCTTGGCTTGGATCCAGACTAATATTTCTACAGGCACAAGGACTTCCACCCAGAGAGCATGATTTCTCTGCCTCCCCACTCCCATGGCAGCCAGAAATGCCCCCCAGTCTGTTGCTGAGAATACCCGGTCCCCCATGAACAGGATTGGTGGGGGGCATTTTTGGAAGTCCTTGCACCCTCGGAAACATTAATCTGGTTCGCTGGCGACCCCCTGTCTCTTGTTTTTTTCTTGTTGGGAAGATGTTTGAAGTCCTTTGTTGTTCTAGTTGTCCTTTTGTGCAGTGATATTACTTAGTGCTTTCTAGAGATGTCTGGTTATTGTACATTGAAGCAAACAGAAATGGCCATTGTGGTCTTGCAAAATGGTCCTTTGTCCACCACAGAACAGTACTTAATAGGACTTCATTAATGTGTGGGGCAGCTTTTCTCCTCTTACATGAAAAGTAATGGGTTGCTCTTCTGAAGGGCTGGGGTTGGAGAAAAATTGTCCCGAGGGGGGGATACAATGTCTCTAATTATATTTTCCGGTGAAACAGACGAGGGACATTTCTGGGGAGAAGACAATCTCCAATATATTCTGTAAACGTTTTAAATATTTCATAGTCTGATAAAATATTTAATGCTATAATAAAAAAAGAAGCATTCTGCACACATCTGCTGCATCCTGGGTTCCCAGCCTTTTTGTTTCCTTTGCCAAGATCCCTGCCCCACACATACAAATGCCACCTTCTGTTGAGTGGCTGACCTGTCAAACGAAGGCTACTTCATATATATTTATCTCAGGGGAGATAATCAGTGACTGCATCTGCCGAGGTATGCTTTGACCTCAGAAAGAAGCAGAAAGGCCTCCTCATTTGAGATGGACCCCAGATAGTGGGACAGAGGGGCTAGCCAGTGCTGTTTCCCCCTGATATCTATGCCACCCCCTCCCCACCAGCCAAACTGCTTTGACTCCTGGTACGAAGAGGGACTGGTTCAATACCAGGAACCTATTTTTTTTCCCCTTACCAAAGCTAATAGAAGTGCTGAAGGGGTATTTCTAGTGGGGAAGTGCCTAGAATGGAGTAGACAAGTTATCTTCTCCCCGGGCATCATGCCCCAATCTGAACATACCCTTCCCCAGTTGCTTTTAAGATCACACAAGAGGAAATTTGATCACAGACTCCCCAGCAAAAAAAAAAAAAGTAGCTTGACTCAGTGTCCCTTGAAATAACACTGGAAGGTAGCTTGGAGGACTTGAGAGTTGCAGGTTGAAGAAATGCAGCCACCTGCTGCCACCCAGTGATTCTATGGTGAGATTTGAACAAGAGATTTCATTCCTCTCTGCTCGGTGCTAGGGTTGCCAATTTCCAGGTGTGGGCTGAAGTTCTCCCTGGAGAAAATGGCTGCTTTGGAGGATGGACTCTGTGGCATTGTATCCTACTGAGGTCCCACTTCTCAAACTTTGCCCTGCCCAGCCTCCACCCCTAAATCTCCAAGAATTTTCCAATCATCTGCTGACAACCTATTGCTTGGTCTCTGAAGCACTATGCTGTACCACCTATTCGAGGGCATGATGAAGGCACAATGATTACATTCTGGGGGGAGTGGTCTGGCAACCCCTGGGAGACATTGCAGGTTGGAACCAAGAGCAGTGGCTTTGTGCTGGTGCACTTATGTGCTTTCCTGTAAAAATCAGAAGTGGCATCTGTGGGCCTTCTAGAACTTATAAAATTCTATGATTTTATCATAGAGTTTTTGTAAAATGTAGGAGCATCCATATGTAAAATGCTAGAGAATCCATGCATAGACTTCGAGGGAAGGACCCGTGGTATGCTGCCGGCGCATCTGATCGTATAATCGCGGGTCAAACTGCGCCGGGGCAATTTGCCACGCCTCCCCCCCGCGATATCCGGCCCGTGTGACCGGGGCTATAAATGTGCTGGCAATCCCACCCCCCATTTCTTCCTGCTGGGCTCTCTTTTCAGTGGGCAGAGTCAGGTTGCCAGGAGAAGACCAGCATCTCTAGTACCACCTCAGCCTAGGTTTTCCTGGGAGCATTGCATGACAAATTACACTTCCCAAAATTTTCTGTACAACTTGGTTCAGCCCTTGATGGGTGTTCCCAATCGACCAGATTTGGAACTGGGAGGGGATTTTCCTTCAGCTCAGATAGGCTAATGACCTTTAAACCCTCATCTCTTGAAGGGATTGCTTTCCAATGTTGGCTTGCTTGAACCTTCTGGGGCTCTCTGTACTCACCATGCTATGAGCATCTGTTCTAAACTTGTGACAGACAGAGGTCTAGACTGAATAAGGCTAATCTGTTACGTGACAGTAGGGGGATTTGTTCCTTAACCAGAACACAGGCCCGTAGCTCTGTGGCAAAGCATGTGCTTTGCACAGCTCACTCCCTGACATTTTCAGGTGAAATGATCAGAGATAGAAGTGCTCGGAATGATTCCTGCCTGTGATCTCAGAGAGCTGCTTTTCAATCAGAGCAGAAAATAGTGAGCTAAATGGGCCCAAAGTTTGACTCAATATAAGGCAGATGGTCCCCTTGGTCTTTGGGTATTGGCCAACTGCACTGTTTAACACTGGGTGTTTTAAATATCTAATTTTCCTTGGGGGCAGGGGGGAAGCTGAAAATTTAAAACAAAGCTACTATTTATGACTGTGTTTCATGATTTTATGGACGACCATCTTTCGGGTATGTTGTAGGTATGTAGGGCTATCTTTCACTATACTCCTGCAGAGTGCAGGGGGTTGGACTAGATGACCTGCAAGGTGCCTTCCAACTCTAACATTCTATGATTCTATAAACATTTACCAGGATCTCTTAAACTGCCCTGCCTTTTGTAAGGCCTGGTTTAAAATGGATACTAGACACTTCAGAGACACTTGCCTGGGGTTCCATGCAGCTAGCATCTTGTTTTAAATTGGGTTGCTGACCCTGGTGCATGTGGCATTAAGTGTGCAAGTACAGCATGCTCATGGGCCTCAATGTTTACACATTTACTTTTGTTACTTGTATTAATTTCTGTAAAGCAGACCCACATGCAGAGGAACTGAGCTTCTGAAAGCAGCTAGGATGTGTTTGCTATGCAACAGAAAGCTCATTTTGCTTCTCCTAACTATCTTGTGATTTGGGACATCAGAGATTACCACCACACAAAACAAGATAGGTATACCGATGGACCTGCCTTCCATGCCTTTGCAAGATCCCATGTCATGTTGTCCCTAAGAGTAGAACATGAGCATCAGTTTATGGGTGTGAAAGCCAGCCAATGTCAGGGTCTCTACTATAATCATAGATAGAAAATCATTAATTTAATTCTGGCTAGTTTGAGACAGTGGAGAAACCCTGAGCTTGTCTGACCTTCCTTTGTTGGGTATGGTTTCCTTCTGCATTTTGAGCTCAGGACAAAATGTGGATTTGCAGCAAATACTCGTTTCCTTTTGCTGCCGCAGGTGAAATCAAATCTGCATCTGACAAAGAGTAGCAATATGTTTCTGAAAAGTTTCTGAAGTTTCAAAAATTGAGTGAGAAGTGACAACTTGTAAAGAAGAACACAAGGTGGTCAGTCGCTAGTACATGACAGCGAAAAAGCTGGAACAATAAGGCAAGTTGGTAATTGAAGTGGAAACGGAGAGGGGCTTTTCACGTTGGAAAAACACACCTGTGATCTTGATCTCAATCAAGGTTGTGCACAAGAGGAGGGCAGTGATCACAAAACTCTGAATATTTCACCTGTTTTTGCCCCTTACATATATGAATGATGTGTATCCTTTTGTGGATAAATTCCCTAAATATGATAGGACATGGAAACATCTGTGAATACTAGATGTTTCTACGCCTTCATTGATGAACCAGAAAAAGCTGGAAAGTTCCCATGTGGTCTTGCTGTGTTACAATTCTGCAAATGCAGAATTCTGCAAATGCAGAATTCTGCAAATGCAGATGGTGGTGGTTCTGGTAGGTTTGTA